TAGTGGTTGTTTCTTTAATATCCTAGCACAATAAAATAATAGAAACTATGGTTATATTCACTGCCGTTAATGATGAATAAATAAAGTTTCTCGTACAATAATAAGTACGGCTAAATTAGCTTGTTTTAAGTTCCGTCCACATAAATACACTGTACAATGTTGAAGTTCCATCCCCGTAAATATAATGTACAATGTTGAAATAAAGTCCACATGAATCAATGTATGTTGTCGCCAGTCATAAAATCAAACATGATCCACATCACATACCTCAGACCCCCAGGCCTAAAATTAGTAGCATTATTTTTTTATTATTAATTAGATTAGTTTTATGATTTTTGTAACTAGAATAATTACAATCGGAATTAGACTATTATTAATTAGATTAGTTTTATGATTTTTGTAATTAGAATAATTACAATCGGAATTAGACTACCTCCAAGCTACAACGCTAAAAGTTTCCAAATTAAATATATGGTAGAAGTGACCGCAGGGCAAATGCTATGACGTGAAACGGAAAAACTTCATTTCAGATCACATGCTTCAAGCTTATATTATATATAATATGGAAATAAATATAAGTTTCTGGACATATTTATGAACTTTTGTGGATATCTCGCCTCATTTTCTAATTGCTGCATCGCTTGCCTAGCACACGATTAGCAGATTTGCCTTGATGCATATCAATATTTTGATTACTGGCTCATGACTTTTCACATTAAATGCCTTGCTCGTGACAATATGATGTTATTTGTTTTTAGTTGACTGGATCTGTTAACTGACCTGCACAAAGTGAATTCCAAATGACGTAAAATATTAAATTTAAAGGATGATTATGAGCTACGTTGCCAGGAGCTAGAGCAGTGGTTCCCAAACTTTTTCAGGCTGGCGCCCCCTTTGGCTCCCTACTGAACTTCTAGCGCCCCCCACAGACACATATAAAAACATACGCCTCTTTCTTGAAATTTAGTACGCTGCAATTTTAAAAGATAAATGTTAAACACAAATGTGTATTTCACAAATAGAACCCCATTTAGTGAACCAATACGTTTTTAAGCTGTTTCAACTGTTTCAGCACTAGAAACCTAGGACGTCTCGGGCAAATTCACGGCCGGACTCGTGGCCAGTCGCACGACCAATCTCCAAATTCAATTATCAAGTAATATCTCCCAAACTAATGAACGCAGCTCAAGGAAACTTGGAACATATATTCATCAGAACCTTACGTTGATTTTTAGCTCGTAAAAATGTTTAAATTTCACCTTCATTCGTGAGTTACATTGCGATAAAGGCCGAAATTCGCAGTGATCAAAGAATTTCTTCCAAACTACTGAACAGATTTGAACAAAATTTTGAATATACATTCCTAACTGCCAAACGTGGATTTTTTTGGGGCTTTTAAAAATTTTCGATTATACCTTCGTTTGCGATGTTTTTTAATTTCACAGTTATTCTTGATTTCACACTTCCTTATATTCGGCCCGTATCGCCGGATAATTTGTCGCTTAAATTCGCGGCGATCAAGAAATTCCTTTTAAACTACTGAACAGATTTCAACGAAACTTTGTATATAAATAAATACCTAACCCCTGATCAAAGAAATTCCTTCTAAACTACTGAACAGATTTCAACGAAACTTTGTATATAAATGAATACCTAACCTCTCAACGGTGTTGTTTAGCTTGCGACAATTTTTCCATTTTTTTTTTCGTTCGCGGGTTATTCAGATATAGGAGGAACGACCGGCTTGGCGGGTGATTTATCCGTATACGTATAGCCGTATAACTCGCAAACGAAGGCAAAACGAAAAAATTGTAGCAAGCTAAACATCGCCGTTGCTGAGGTTAGGTATTTAAATGCTAAGTTTCGTTCAAATCCATTCAGTAGTTTTGGAAGGAATTTCTTGATTACTGCGAATTTAAGCACGTATTGCTATTTAAATCACGAATGAAGGTGAAATGAAAAAAAAACTCGCGAACAAAGGCACAAGCGAATAAATTTTTAGGAGCTAAACATTAACGTTCGGTAGTTAGGACTGTAAATTCAAAATTTCGCTCGAATCAGCTCAATAGTTTGGAAATACCCGCTACTGTGAATTTCGGCCCGTATTGCCATATAACTATGGCAAAAACAAATGAAGGCAAAATTAATAAAAATTTCACGAACTAAACATTACCGTTAGGTCCTAATGAATACGTGTACAAAGTTTCAACAAGTTAAGTTCATTGGTTTGAGAGATATCACTTGAACATTGAATTGGAAATTGGCCGTGAGACCGGCCGCGAGTCCGGCCGTTAATTTGTCCCAGACGTAAACCAGGAGAGGTTAAAAAAACAGATCTGGGTGAAAAAACCATCGCTGGGAGTCATGATGTGCTGTACGTGTTGTGTACAAATCGTCAAACAAACGTTCTAACTTCTGACTTCGACTTCGGACTACCGCCCCCCTATCGCCCCCCAAACGCCCTCTTCTTCCTTACCGCCCCCCAAAATCTTTCCACCGCCCCTAGGGAGGCGATATCGCCCACTTTGGGAACCACTGAGCTAGAGGATTGCAAATTTATTAGGTTTATTTAACAAAAGCTGATTGAGTACGTGGCATCGACAGTAGCGCCGTATACAGTATACGAGTTCAGACAAGAACTTCTCTGTAATCTGCATTCCACTCCTAAATTACACACAGGAAGAGGTTAGAAATTTGTATTGTGCAAAATTCTAATCTTTAAACACATTTATATTGTTGAAACTTTCGACAGAACCTTATAATTTGTAAACATCATCATCAATGTCATTGTTTGACCTAAGCTTCAAGACACTAATTTGATACTAAAATGTGACTTACTCCACGTGCTTGAATATTGTTTGCAGATCAGCTGAAAAACTTATCATATTTATAGAAACTGTTTAATTTCTACGATAACTTAAACTCACAACCTTCGAAAATTAAATGTTAACGTTCACAGGCAGCTTCAATAGTTCATACATTCGTGAGTGAGACAATTTTATCCGTCGGAAGTTTAAAGTTAAAAAGAAGTGAACGCTATCGTCAAGTTCTTCAATAGAGCCATTAGCCTTTACTTTCACACGCGTGGCTAGCGGGCTGCGGTGTGAACTGTGCAGTGACAAGGCTGAAAATCTTACCGTTAAGCCTACCACAAATACCTTGCCACCACAACCATGTAGCTACCACGACCATCTAGCCACCACAACCATCTAGCCACCACAACCATCTAGTCACCACAACCATTCTAGCCACCACAACCATCTAGCCACCACAACCATCTAGCCACCACAACCATCTAGCCACCACAACCATCTGGCCACCACAACCATCTAGCCACCACAACCATCTAGCCACCACAACCATCTAGCCACCACAACCACTACAACCAATTGGCCACTCATTCACACTAGCGTGCCCAAACAACCCAGACAAGCACATACTAGCATGTCTCAACCACAATAGTCATCACAATCTAGCCAAACTGCCTGCTTATAGCGTGCTACTGCAACCCAGTCACAACTTCACACCATCTTGGTACAACTTTCTTACCACAATCCTGTTACTGTAACAAGATTGTAACATCAATTAATCATCACAAGCTTGTCGCTATACCTGTTCGTCGCAGCTAACGGTAATTTGCTTGTCACTATCACTGGACTCCCACTAACTTGCAGCAGGTTAGCTTTCTTCTAATATTTTCTGGCAACAACCTCATCTCTCTAACTCTCAGAGAACATCAATGATACAGTTAATATGTAGTGAACAGGAGAGTTAGACTTGTAGCGAGCAGGTGCGTTGCACCTGTAGCGAGCAGGTGCGTTGCACCTGTAGCGAGTAGGCATGTTGCACCTGTAGCGAGCAGGAATATTGCACCTGTAACTAGTAGGTTTGTTGCATCTTTAACGAGCAGGCGTGTAGCAGCAGTATGTAGCAGGTGTGTATCTGGAGCATGGATGAGTGTAGCTCTTGCAGCAACCAGTTCCCCAGCCCCCCCAGCATTTGTCTGGCACCTGTTTCTGACAGGCCTTCAGAAGACGCGACAGATCTGCAAGCGACTTTTCTGTATGCGACTTATCTATTATGATTTTATGATGAGTTCGGGACATGTCCCCGGTCACGCTGATGCGCCGCCTATTACCGACAGGTCTTTAAGCGACTTGTCTGTAAGTGTAAGTGACTTGTCTGTAAGAGACATGTCCTAAGCGACTTGTCTGTATGCGACTTGTCTATCACCGACAGGTCTGTAAGCTACTTGCCTGTAAGTGACTTAATTGTCTGTAAGCGGCTTGTCTGTAAAGAGACATATCTGTAAGCGACACGTCCGTAAGTTACTTGTCTGTAAGCGACTTGTCTGTAAGAGACATGTCTGTAAGCGACTTGTCTGTATGCGACTTGTCTATCACCGACAGGTCTGTAAGCGACTTGCCTGTAAGCGACTTGTCTGTATAAGTGTTTTGTCTGTGAGAGACATGACTGTAAGCGACTTGTCTGTATGCTACTTGTCTATCACCTACAGGTCTGTAAGCGACGTAAGCGACTTGTCTGTAAGTGACTTATCTGTAAGTGACTTGTCTGTATGAAACATGTCTGTAAGCGACTTGTCTGCGTGCGACTTGTCTGTGTGAGACGGGTTGGTAAGCGAGTATTCCTCTAACATTTAAGGCCTTCAATTTTAATAAGTCATGATTTCTTCACTGAATATCGCGATTGTAGGTGGTGATCGGACGCTGCTTATCAACTGGTACAAAATATTCTAGACATAGCGATTAATGCAATAAGAAAATACACTCATTTGTTAAAGGATAAACTCACCTTGATACACACACTCGCTTGCAGACACGCATGGCTCGTAAGCGGGTAGATCGAAAGGGTGGGAACAGCCAGAGTTGAAGGATAAAGGATAAAAGGATGCCGGGATAAAAAGTTAGAATGATAAAAGGATGAAGTTTCAAAGAAGTTACAAAGGATAAAAGGATGAATGAGTTAAAGGATAAACCCACCTTGATACACGCACTCATTTTGCAGACACGAGTGGCTTGCTAGCGTGTAGAACGAGGGGGTGGAAATGGCCAGAGGTGTGACGGGGGTCACGGCGGGTGAATTTACTATTTTTCCCCCGTCGCAGCCACTTGGACCTGAGTGAGGTACCCGCATCTGGGCCAGCTGATGGGCCCGTGAACCCGTCGATACAAACTCACGGGTTGGGCTCTGGGTGACCGTTGAGTCCATTTTGGGGGACGGTATAGGAGTTGAATTTCGATCGATTGCGGTGTTGAAAATTAGTACCCGCGGTGAGAAATTGTGCTATTGAGCAGATGATAATGAGCTGAGCAAAAGATAATGAGATGATAAAAAAAAACAATGATATTGTTTAATTATTGTTAAAGCGATCGTTAAGGAGGACGCGCGCGTTCGAAAACTTCTTGTATTCAATACCGAAGTTTAAATTAAATCAAGCTTGGATGAAATCCACTCACACGTCACCTTATATCATAAAGTTGTTCAACAAAACCAGTGGGTTGAATTCGTTGACGATATGAACTTCATAGAAACTTGATCCATATGCACAGAAGTTTATAATAATTTTACATCGAAGGATTAAGAAATGCATTTCTGTGGCACAGCAACATCATTTTCCTGAGGGACACTTAATTGGCACTGAGTTGTATATTTGTACACACTGCATGAAGTCTTGATATCTAACCGAAAAAATAGTTATCAGTTCATACTTCTCACGCTGATCTCATTTATCAGCGCATTATTATCATAATAGGAAACATGTACACAAATTTTGCTTATACCTGCACATAGAAAATAACGGGATTGCGTAAGCAATTAATGCTATGCGTAACTATATACAAGAAAGTAGCAAGTGCAACACACACGAAAATCGGAATCTTCGCTTCTCTGCCACTTCCGATGATGAGAAAATAATGAAATCATCTCCAGATGACTATAATTTAGAAACTATTTATTCTCGCATTGATTCTCGTGCATAGCTTGGTTCTGTTGAACGATTTCAAATGTTCATTCACAGGACGGAAGAGTAAGCTGAGTGCGACAATCTTGAATCAATGATACGAATATCTACGTGATATCAGCAATCTAAATGACGCAGAGAAATTGTGAAGATTTCTATGAATTACGTTTAAGCTTGAAACTCTATCATCTAACATCTACTCATATCTATTCATAAATTCCACCCATAATCCACAGCTATTAGACCAACACAACAAACAAAATTTGACAATTATGCGATAAACCAACAAGAGGCTGGAACCATAACGATGTGCACCATAATATTTGGTATTTAATATAATATTTTGTTAATTATACAACATGTTTTCCTACGTGGCATGGATTGCACAGCGCAAGATGCGGTGGCCTATAATTAATTTGCAAGCATGGACTCGTCTTTTATTCAACTATGTAGCTGCTTGTACGTTGACGAAGAAGTTTATACCCACACTTCACAAGTTGGCTGGACTGTACCTGACTGAACTATAACTAACGACGACTGGATCATGACAACAGTAAGCTGAGATACTCTATCCATGGCACTAAACAACGCCAGAAAAGCTACGGAACGACGCACAGTAGGACATTTCTCTACAGTACAGTAGCCTGCGGTCCGCTAAAACGTATTACCAACAACAGCCGGAAAAGTGCCGTGGCGAATCAACAGCTCTGGGCCTCGCTGCGCTGACCGCAAGTTTTCTCTACAGGCAGCAGCTCCAACATGACAACTCTCATAGCGTAAATTATACGAACGCCGTAAATTTGCTCTAAACTATGTAATTTGCTGGAATTATTCCAATAAGCAAACACAGACGTAAAATTGGATTTACCATGGTGGGGCAATTTACCTAAGTTTGATAATGCATTTCGATTTCTATGCTTGCCAATTTTTGCTATCCTCTTCAGTTTAGCAAAGATAGTTAATTAAAAATATATTACACATTTCGGTATTTATGAAAATATTTAATTTGCTCTAATTATATGGAGAGTCAACATCTATTATATGGAGAGTCTAATTATATGGAGATTGGTTCTAGTCACTGCACCAAGGTTGCAAACTGATAAGAAATGATAGCAGTAGGTTGATAAGTTATACCTAACTAAGGCAAGACGTGATATTTACTCTGCGATGAAGAATAAAGAGCAAATACGACAGTGAGTCATGTTACGACTGTGAACTTATAGTGACTATATTATAAAAAGATCCTATTGGTGAGGGGTGGAAATTCTCCGTAATAGTTCTCGGCATTTTAAACCACAAAGTATTTCTAATATGCAACTCAAATTTTTGCATACACTTTTTAATGATTTTACTTTATTATAACCTCCATTGATTGAATTTAACTTATTGTTTGAATAGTAGCATCGCTTCGAGGACTAAACAATATTTGGCACGAACTGACCCAACGTGTTGGCCACTGCCATCAAAGACAGCAAGTGTTCCACAACAACAATAAATAATTGGTGGTAGAGAAGTTATATACAAAATGACCGACTAACAGACCTGATATTGTCCGTCACTGACAGCCACCATGAGTGACTACTGTAGAAGTGAACAACACATGAGGTGGCTGGCAGAGTTAGCCTCATGCACTAACCACGGCTGGCAGAGTACGTTAGCCTCATGCACTAACCACGGCTGGCAGAGTTAGCCTCATGCACTAACTACGGCTGGCAGAGTTAGCCTCATGCACNGCAGCTGCAGTGTTCCTGCCACCTCTGCAGCTGCAGTGTTCCTGCCACCTCTGCAGCTACAGTGTTCCTGCCACATCTGCAGCTGCAGTGTTCCTGCCACCTCTGCAGCTGCAGTGTTCCTGCCACCTCTGCAGCTACAGTGTTCCTGCCACATCTGCAGCTGCAGTGTTCCTGCCACCTCTGCAGCTGCAGTGTTCCTGCCACCTCTGCAGCTACAGTGTTCCTGCCACCTGTGCAGCAGCAGCAGCTGCAGTGCTTCTGCAGGCTGCAAGCACGTCGCCGTACGTGATAGGTTCTACCGTCCGCGTGTCCAGAAAGTCATATATGATGCACATATATAGGCGCTACCAAGTGTACGTCGGACGTACCTTGTGTACGTCAAACTGTACGTCAGATGTGCTTAATGTGCATTACTTTAGGTCGTCAGATATCCGTAGCCGCTTATAAAAGTTAGGTTCTGAACAGAATGGTATTACTTATATGCAATCGATGCGTGCATACTGTCCGTTCTGCCAGTACAAGCTTGGGATGCTCGAACTTGGGATGCTTGAATTCCATAGAATCTCTACAGAAGTCGCAAGTTTACTTAGATTGGAGCTATAAAATGTTTAATATTGTTGAAATTTGTGATGCGAGTGTGGAAAAGTTATAGTTATCAGTAGGAGATTTTAAATACGTGTTCAGAATATGTTACATATTTTTCCGACTTTAGGTCGTTCATCAAAATCCATGTCAGAAAATAATCACAAACGAACTTTGACTATATCGGCAACAATATTGCATTCGAAAATGACGCAGCCAACTTGAGCAACCCAAGCTCAAATTGATGAAGAAAATTGCCTGTAATTGTCCGGCAATGAAACTCGATCTGTTTTTTAAAACATGATTATATGAGCTGCGTAGGCTTCTTCAGTCCGCACTACTGCACCCACAGTAAAAAAAATTAAACAACCCGATTTAATATTTGGGCAAAACTCCGCATGATAGATTCAGGATAGAACTTCATCTTATTCTCAAATAAACCATGAAAATGACGTTTCGGTCGAATCTGCTCAGTAAACTTCGGGCAGGCGAGACATCGCTACTTCATATCACAGCAACATTGCTACTTTGTATCACAGCAACATCGCTACTTTGTATCACAGCAACATCGCTACTTCATATCACAGCAACATCGCTACTTTGTATCACAGCAACATCGCTACTTCTTATCAAAGCAACATCGCTACTTCTTATCAAAGCAACATCGCTACTTCTTATCAAAGCAACATCGCAACTCAAGACGTGAAAAGCGTAAGTAAGAAATTGTGAGTCGTGTCACTAGACGTCAGGTTCGAGTGGCTATTTATGAACAGCTGCATGGATGAGTTAAGAATTCTTCTATAGAAATTGTTAACTACTTCTTAACTGCTGAATAAGATGCGTATAGCTTTAAACTTTAGTACCGAATTATAACAGAATAACAATAACAGAATCTAAATTTGCGGCTAGGCCTGCATCTCAGGCTCCAGAACATAGCTAAGTGTCGTCCGTGACGCATTTACAATGGGTAGCTTCATCTCAACTGCTGAATAAGATGAGAATCAACTTAGACTTTTGTAATGAATTCTAGCAGTAATGAATGAATTTTTAGCCAGGCCTGCAGCTCAGACTGCCGCTAGAACATGACACAGGAAGGTTCAAGTAATAAGATAGCGGCTTGAGTTCCATGCTTCAGGACTGACGCAGTGTTGCGTGGCAACGGTGTTGTATTGCATTTATTATATGAAACTTAGTGAGAGAAACAATGAATGTTTTGCATTTCATTATACGAAACTTAGTGAGAGAAACAATGAATGTTTTGCATTTATTATATGGAAGTTAGTGAGAGAAACAATGACTGTATTGCATTTGTTATATTAAACTTAGTGAGAGAAACAATGAGTGTATTGCATTTATTATATGGAACGTAGTGAGAGAAACAATGAGTGTATTGAAGGTACAAATGAAAGAGAAGCAGAAGAAATATTCAAATATGACGATAAATAACACAAGTAAGATGAACGAACTAGTTGTAATTATAAGAGAGATTTTGCACTATTAAAAGAGTAACGTATATAAACACACCCGATTCGCCTGAATTGTTGAATTTAATAATATTAATTGTGGATATCGTTGAATGACCAAAGAGATTATGATACTCTAAACTGATAAACTGTTAATGATAAAGGAGGACAGATGCAACAAATCTTACAGGACACGCTATTTACGACTCTAATTAACTCGCGATATCATTATATTATTTTTATTATTATTTTATAATTATTATCATTATTTGATTGTATTTCAATCTATAACCTAAGGTAATAGACACACACAACATCGTGTCTATAACCTATATGGTTATAGACAGCCCATACTTATGCAGGTTTCTCAATTCAAAGCATATTTCCTTATTTCGCAATGCCACAGACATTGTATAGAGTTAATGTAATTCAACGGCACTTGAACGAGCATGTACTTGTTCTTGCTTGTGTAATATGCAAAAATAAAAACTACTACAATACAATTTTAGTTATGTCAACTTGAGACGTAGGAATGCGAAATGCATTACCGTAGTCCCAACATTCATTCCACCCGATTTTTAAAATAACATAAAAACACGCACAAATACGTTAATTAATGTCAGATAAACAACGCAACGAATTCATGTATAACAAATTGTTCTCTTGTTACCCGTAGTCCCAACATTCATTCCACCCGATTTTTAAAATAAGAGGATAACACGCACAAATACGTTAATGTCAGATAAACAACGCAACGAATTCATGTATAACAAATTGTTCTCTTGTTACGATGTTGACATGTGGTATGCCGAGTTCTCACCCTTGTTGCAACGTATCACGTAACAGACGACTTATCACAAACAATACATCGCCTTTTAATCATGTGAGAAAACTTTTTAACACTTAGAATTACACAGATAATCCGCTAGAAAAAGTATTATATTATAGTATTTAAAAATTCAATTTGTCGGTGCAAAAACAGTTGCGTTCAAGCATTGTGCAATGCATCAGGTCGAACACGTCAGCTGACGAGGAGCC